ATTTTATCTATAAGTAACAGTAATTTTGATTTTAGTATGGCCACTAAACATTATAGGATGGTCTTCATTTTATTACAGAAGCTTATTTCATTTATAGAAATCACATGAATGATTAATTGGATTACAACATGAAATACAAAGGCTACAGCTGACTTGTTTGCAATTTGATGGAACTAACTTTTGCAACTTAATGCAGAAACTCGCCTACACAGCTTTAATTATTCTCAAAGATTAATTGCTCCAGGTTTCATAATATTAATTTACATTATCTTAGAATATTAAACAAAACAAAAAATCAGGTCAAGCTGTACTGAAAACTTTAAGTCCAAAATGCATGTTTCAGCTACTATACTTGGTTTTACAGTTTTTCATCTGCTCTTATCTTCAATGTCTATGAACATCAGTTCCCTCGGACTGTCACTTGTTGCTCTATGAAAAACAATCTCATTTATCTAGCACTGATGCAAGAAAGTTAATCTAGTTATCCTTTCAACACTCAGTGACTATCTAAAGGCTCCCCTAACTTCTTAAAATACAGCCACAAAAATAATCAGAAAAACAAAACACTTCCTTTTAATCTTTCCCAGCACCAGCCTTGATCCATCTCATAAGTAAGAAATAGTGCTTGCCAAGGAATCTAACAGCATGGGAAGTTGGCAACAGTGGATTACTTTTTATTAAAGTAAAAATGAAAGTTGCAAATCTGCTGAAATATCATGTAATTCAGTTTATTACTGCAGCCTTTTTTCACTATAGAGTACCTTTTTCTAACCCTGTAGAAATAATCATTTAAATGAGGCTAAAATTTCCCTTCTGATTAGGGGTGCACCGATAGATTTTCGGGGCCAATACCAATAGCTGACTTTTAAGGAGGCATATCAGCTGATACTGACCTGATTTCTGGTACACCTGCCTCCAGCTGGTAAATGTGTTGTGGTGGAAGGGGGGCACAGATCAACACCCCCTGCTGTTACCTCTCAGCTCCATGTTCTTGGGGAACCCTGACACAGGACACAGACTGTCTGACTCACAAAGAATCCTCCCCCAACCTAAACAGAAATTGATTAAGATGCAGTGAGAGACACACCTAAAACCCTCCAGATAAGGGTGACAAAAGTGAAACAACTGCCCTA